TGTTGCAAAACTAATGGAAAAAAGGTTGCGCGACCAAGGTAACTGCAAGAAGGGGGGAGTAAATCTAAGAAAAAAAAAATTCGCTAACGCTCACGCTATTGGCGCAAAAGTAGTGGGGATCAATGTATACCTATATACATGGGGATGTGTGGGGAGGCGAGGGAGAGGTGGCTGCGTTAGTTATGTGTGTTTTCGTCCTTCACATACACATAGGTGTATAGACATATATTCACACACATGGAAAGAGGCTCATGACGCATTTCCACATCGGTGTCAGTGCCAGTGCCAGTGTCTGTGTCTGTACAAAAAAAGAAAGAGACTAAGCTACGTCGGTACGTATGCAACGTATATTGGAGCGCGATAATGACGGATGACGATAGCTATAACAAGGCAACTATATAGCTTATAATGAGCACGATATTATACCCCTTGCACTATTCTTGAACACGCCGTTGTGTCCACAGCCATACGTCATCTATCCATCGATTCACTCTCGCCGCTCCACTTCGACTCGCAGCATCACTGTTACTATTACCGTTCCCATTCCTACCAAGTATAGTCTACGCAGCGCCGCAAACCCAGCACCAGCACCGCGAAATCCAACCAACACAACATACTTGCGCTTACAACTTGCTTACTTGCTTACACCTTACTTACCATGACAACCTTTTCACCTACCTACCTACATACATCAAATACATATACCCCCCCAGGGACACCATCTTGTCATTCGTCGTTTTTCGTTTTCGTTTACGTAGTTACGCGCCTCCCACACCCACTCACAACAAAGTAAGTACCAACCAAACCAAACCAAACCAAACCAACCAATACTCACGGGGAACCATTCCCCTTTGAATAATAATGAACAAAATAAAATAAAAATAAGCCCTAAACACCCCTACCTACCTCCCTTCCCTTGTTCCCGCGTACGACCGCAACCGCTACCGCAACCGTGACCGGACCATCCGACCAACCGGCTAGCCGGCCGGCCGGTCTGACCATCCTGATGCCATCCATAACCATGCATGCGGTCCCCCCTCCCCCCTCCTCACTCGCCGTATCGCAAAGCCATCTCGATACGTGCACGAAGTGCGAGTAGCGAAACGGGCTGGCTGTACTGTAATAGGTGCGTATTTTTAGTCACGGGTCGTCGTGGGTGTCCCTCGGCTTTTACGTAGCGTTTTGGGCGTCTTTAGCCTTTTTTCATCGTTTGTCGTCCAAGTATTTGTCACTCCAGCGGCATCGCAGCCGCGGGGGCGGTTGGAGTTTGCGCGTGCGTTGCGTTTGCGTTGCTGAATACCTGTGTTCTGCCAAACGAACAAACAAACAAACAAACAAACAAAAAGGACTTTAGTAGAAACCAAGTAAATACAGGTGTGAGAACATGTACTATACACAGTCCAGAAAAGAAAAATGTATATGTATTTCGTCATCATCATCATCATCATCATCATCATCATCATCATCATCATCATCATCATCATCGCTGTTATACCAGAAAAATTGACTCCCTCCCTCCCCTTCCTCCTCCGCGAACGGCATGCCCACGCGACAAGGCTGAGCGAGCAAGCAGCGGAAAAAAAAG